AAGCAGTGCAGCTTCTTTAGTGGTCAGGATAGACTCTTTTCTGTCTGTTTTGTTATATTGTCTCGGATGCTTGCTCCAGTCCTATTTTCTATCAATATTTACTACTCTGGAAAGTTCCAGGCCATGCTCAGCTGTCACTGTATGTTCTAATGGAGGTGCTGCGCACTTTACCCATAGCCCTTCACTCTGTGCCTACCCTGGCAGCTCCTCAGCCGAGTTGCCCGATAACAAGACATGGGTGGCATATTATCACGAGTCTTACACCCCCAGCGAGCCGTGAACCAAGTCCTATCCCGAGCCTGGCAGCAAAATTGCAAGACGAGCGAGTACCACAAGGGCAAAACTCGGAAATACACCACGAAGAACTTGAAATCCAAGCCAGGCGCTGCTACCAGCAAGAACCAACGGAATTAGGTTTTTTGCCAGAAAAACTGAAGCTGACTAAGCCAACAATGACAACCCTGTTGCAGCAAACCACGTTCGCTCCCACCATCGTTTGCATGCCCGTCGCACCTCGCACTCCGATGCCCTTTCACGCAAGGTGCACAAGACGTCGAGGGCTGGATTGAACAATGTGACCGTGTCGCCTGCCACAGTGGGTAGATGGACAACCAGCTCCTGCAGAACCTATACTTCTCGTGGAAGAAACTGTGAGGCACTGGTTTGAGAACCGCGAATCCTCCTTAACGTCGTGGGAAGTTTGCAAGACTGAGCTGAAGTGCATGTTCATCAGCCAACATTGACAAGAGAGAGCCGAATTTCCGATTCTGTCCAGGACACGGCCCCAACGAGAGCGTCACCACCTTCGTGGAGGATGTTTTGCTTCTGATCGAGCACCCACGCCAACCCTGATGCTACAGAAGACAAGAAGCTAAGAATCCCATGTTCCTCATGTGAGGGACAACACCTTCAGCAGCCTTGTCCGCAACCCCACGACAACAGTCGAAGGGTTCATATACAATGCAGCTTCCAACATTGAATGCACACTGCAGGCCCGAGCACGTCACTATTAAAAACTCCCCAGCGTCGCGACACTCAAGTCGTCCAGCTGCAACTTCGACGCCAGCCCCCCAGGCATCCGTGACATCATTCACAACGGTGTCCGGGAGGAGATAAGGAAGCTAGTTCCTGCCATCAGTTGCCTGGCTTTAATTTTGATCGCCGAGATTTTTTCAGAAGTTTGACAGGCATCTCAACTGGAGACTTCTTCGAGCGAAGCGGCATCTGACGAAATGAGGGCGACTTATGCCACAAAGTCACAATGACCACCACCGGCTACCTGTTACTATTCAATGCAAATTCAACGAAACACCCCAATGCCGAAGCATTCCCGATATCGAGAAGAACCAGTGTAGGTCCGCGCTGAACAAAGTACACCGAGGAAGACGGAGGTACTGCGAATGGCCGACCGAAAACCACTCTGCTACCATTGCATGAGGCCGACCTTGTCTACTGGAGGTGCCCGTACCAATGAATTGGCTTGCAAGGGTTCGTGCCGAACGACCCTCGACCGCGTCTTAACGAGCGTCCGGTTAAGATTGAGGATTATCCTCGGCGGTCTTTGTCCCTGGTGCCGACATAACCCCGAAGCTTGTGATCTACTTCATCTGGACGGAAGGTAAGCACGACAAAGCAGGTGAGCGGCAATGCAAGGAGAGTTGATCTGGTGTCGGTTGTCGTCCAAGGACAATACCTAATAATTTGCTGACACTAATTTTCTGTGTCCACGCCATGAAGCACACAATTTCCAACTTTGAGGGAGAATGCCGCTCACTGACCTTAAGAAATAGAATGGTTGGTTTCTCTCAAAAACGGACTGCAAGCGTCAAGAGACTTCACTTTGCCACACAAGACTTGCACAAGTTGCAGTGGTCGTGGGATGCACAATAAATCTCCATTACGAAATGGAAGTGAAATGGCTTGGATAGCAAACATTGTTGCCAGCTATCAAGTCAGCGGTACAACAAAAGGCACAGCCATATAACCAATACATGCCTGAGCTTGCTGCATTGATGCAGAAAACTACCAGGAAAATGTTGCGGATTAGAAGCCAGCCCTGCATCTTCAGTGCATCAGATGTCAGTAGGCGCACATGACGTATGATTACAAGACGGCATCAGTCGGTTAAAGTTGCTACTCGACCATACTGAACACCGACGTGCCAGGAGCGTCATCCCACAACAAGGTCCACAGGTATTACAATTGAACGCCTGACAGGAGACTGTCGCAGAAAGAACTCATTCTAGAACCATTAACTAAGAATCAATAATTATGTAATGCAGTGGAAATAAACATTTGATACAGTAAACAGATAAACCTATTTCCACTTGCCTTTATGCCTTGAGAGTTTATACACCAAGAATAGTGTTCACCACACGTGCAGGTCCTTTTGAGGACAATCGCATCTCTGACCCTTCAATATTAATTGATGGGACATACCAGAGTGGCAGACTTGTTGCATTTGGCTGCACTCATTCCACTTTTCCTGAACACAATATTGAGCATATATTTTAATCGTATGTGTTGATGCATTGTTATACAGCAAGACACTTCCTATACGTAGACCCTTTGCAGAAACCCATCAAGCAACACAACTGTTGCCATTTTTTTTCGGCGTAAAGCACACAAATGGGCCCCAGTTCACGTCAAATGCTAATGCAGCATTCGAGTCCAATAGGCGCTGAGCCGAGTTCACAGTGATGGCGGACGTAACATTCTTGTTGAACAAATGACCAAAGTATGAAAGCCTGGGGTAATTAGAGTAGTAGCTACTGTAATTTGTTTTATCACAATATGGCAAACAGCAAAGGCTACAGTCTCGGTGAGCCAATATGCACGTTGGAGAGAGGCACATGACAACATGTCATTCAGAGTGCTCCTCTGCACAGATTTGTCACACACCTTCGCTCTGTCTCTCCGATTGGCTCGAGGGGGCTGTGGCGGTTATCCTTTTCCAGGTTACAATGATACAAAGTATAGGCAACCCACACTTTTCAAAAAAAGGTTATTGAAGAGACCGAAAGCAATGGTCAACATTTTTCAACAAGACTGCTCTTCAGGCAAGGGATGAACACAAATATGAATCATCTTATCCAGGTAATTAGACCAAGTAAATAATTGACTGACTAATACAATGCAGTTTTGATGAAAAAAAGTATTGCTGCAATAAATCCTACGAAAGAGAAAAAGGTGCAGTTAATCTATGCATACACAAAAACAGTTGTTGTTATTGCAAGTCGAATAGCTTTGAAGCAGGTGCCTGCAACGATTTATTCATCCCCACTCAATAAAACGTCATCCTCGTAGCTGAAAATAAGTGTGCACTTCGCCCTCACCAAAAAAGGAAGAAAGGCGATCGAATGTAGAATTATCGATTAGCACAAAGGGTTAAAGATCGCAGGAGCTTCCGCGCTAAAAGTTGCTATGGTTATTCGGTGACGCTGGCCTGAAACAACTTCTCCTAGGCCCTAACGCGACGTATACCTTTCGCGTCGATTCATAGACATTTCAATGTTCAAACAAAGCTAAGAGAACGCGAAAATTTCATGCTAAAAGCACTCAAAGTTCTATCGATCCTCGAACAGGTGTTAATATCCAGATGATCCAGAGCGATCTTGCGCAGAAAAGGTATGAAGTCCCATTCCTTCATATTTTCACAATATACCTGCGTCAGCGAGCACGAAAAAGCCCGAAATCGTCGAAAAGCCGCTGCACATCACGGCTGCCGCGCACCGAACAAACTCGCATCCGCCAGCTCTGGGCGCTGCCATCTTACCTGCGACGTCACGGATCTTGTGAGGTCACGTGACGAGTGGTCACATTTGCGTAAAACATGGCGGCAACCGGGGGGGTGCCACTTCGGGACTTCCAGTTTATCACTCTAAGCCCCTCTACCTCGTTGATAAACCTATACAAGTTGGTGATTCATGACAACAACAAAAAAAAAGAACAGCGCGAAAAGAGCCGAGGGACAATTCGAAGAAACACAGAGCGACTGGTGTGCGTTCCTTTCGCTTGTCTTTTGTCATCTTTGCGTCTTTTTTTTTTTAGCAATATTGGTACCTTTTATAATCATCGTTATTTCATATTGTGTACATAAAGCTAAACACCGTACTGTACTTGACTTTACCTTGTGTCGGAGCGTAGCTGATGCTACGAGCCGATAGGGCCGATCAAGCAGTGCCAAAAGCACAATATCACGACTCTTGTCGTATTTTTGTGCGTGTGCTGTTATGAGCTAACCCAGTGAAGCGCAGTGAATGCGCCGTGACCTTTTTTTCTTTCAGTAGGTGTGTCCGTGGTTGTATGTATTCTAGCCTTTCACGAGCTCTAACTTATGACGAAGCAAATTATAGCACGAGAGATGGTGCCATTAGTCATTTTGTGAGTCCGATTTTTTTTTTTCGCTTTGCTTATTTACGTTTTGAGATTAGCGGAATAAATATTGTTCAGCATGTCACCTGCTGGAGCATATTGAGGCTAAGGAGGACCATCTAACGCAGTATGAACTTCGGTGCCTGGAGCGCGTTCTCAAAAGTGGTCCCTTGATATCCACCTGATGACGTCATAATTGTGTCATGCCGCATTCCTGACGGTCGCACAGCATCGGAAGGAGATGCCGAAGACGCCTTTTCTGCTGTGAGTCGCACCGCAGTCAGACAGTTCATGGAAGCCAAAGCAGACAGGGACCCTTGCGTACGCTGGCCTTTATTGGCCGAACGTTTACGACTCAACCGCCAGGATTGCGACATCCAACAGCGTGACACGCCTCGACTCTTGTGGCGCAATTTATTGCGCCACAAGAGTCGAGGCCCTCCCTTTTCTGACCCTAAAGAGGGGAAAAAATATTTTACATAGTGGTGTGTTATACTAAATTATAAAACCTAATTCCCTCCACAATGATTGTAAAGGGGAGAAAACAACGTCAAAAACGCGTGCACAAAACACGAACACAAATAACTCAGTGATCGTTAAATGTACAATATACATAATTAAAACGATACGTATAGGAAATAGTTTATTTGCCGGAACTCAAATATTCATATCGAATCATCCCACTCTATTTAGAAGACTGGAAATTGTGAAATTGAACAATCGAATGCCTTAGCTCGTTCTTCCTCTAGATCATGTGTCGACCAATTGCAGCACTTGGCATTCAGATGGTGTCGTGTGCCTTATCCTGCACAATACTGAGGTGTCATTGACCATTCCTTTGTCATCCGGCTGGAAAAGAGCAACGCCACTTATTATGATGCTTGCACTTTTAATAAGAAATTCTAACATGGAGCAGTGTGATGTCTTGAACTGAATTTGTAAAATTTGGCGCAAACAAAAAGAACGAAACGCGTAAGGCTATTCGCTCAAATTGATTATTAATCAAAGCCAGTGCATGCTAAAACATTCCCGTGAGTACACTCTCCCGGAGATCATTCGTTGAGCCACTCACTCCATGATGCATTACAATAACTTTTTTTTTTTTTGTGCTGTGCTGTGAAACGTTTTCTAAGCAAGCGCAGTAGCTTTCTTCACCTAAATACCAGACGCCGCGCATGCCTCCACAAGAAACTCGGCATTTTTCGCGTGGGCTATAAGAGTTTCAAAGGTTTAAACCTGAGCTGAGTGAATTTCGAGCCACAAATGAACGTTTCAACTCATACGGCATGCAAGTTCGTTCTCTCCTTGCGCGGGCGTTTGTTTGCTCCCCAAATGCGCCCACGTGCTTTTGTTTCCCTCCGACCTCTACCGATGACGATGGCGATGGCGAGGCGTTCAACGGCCTCGTCATCAGGCGTTCCTCGCACCTTTTCTATGTTGTCCTTCGATCTGCATACTGCTGCTTGCATTACGATGCGCCAAAGACGCATTTTGGAACCCTCGCTCGCCGTATAAATCCAGTCCACATTATTTCATATCGCCACGAGCGTCTTCGAGCAAGCGCGCCCATATACCGAGGGATTCTGCTTCTGCACTCGCACGAGACGGTCGCAGGAAGACTCTGATGGGGTAGCAGCATTTACCGGCCGTAGTTCCTTTGTTGATGGCGCGGCTGCTGCCGACGAGCATAACCGCTCATTCACACTGGAAGCGGAACCGCGTTCGCAAAGCGGTTGCGAACGCCGGTTGTATAAAGATCCAGTACAATTTCACGCGCACTCGATGACATCAAGTGCGCGTGAAATTGTACTGGGTTTTTATACAACCGGCGTTCGCAACCGCTTTGCGAACGCGGATCCGCTTCGAGTGTGATTGAGCGGTAAGGGGGTGCTACTGCCGATCCCAAACGGGACGACGGTTTCGAACTCTGTTCTTTTGCATGGCAACTTGAAGGCGCATGCCTCTCAGATCAAGGACTTCAGGACGGAGCTGAAAAGGTGCGATGTTTTGAACCAGATAGTTTCATTCGGAGCTTTCCAAATAAACCATGTGTGGATGGCAACGCTGCGGACGCCGGACACGAAGCAGCGCCTCGCCGAGACCAAGTAGCGCAAGGTCGAGAACTTGCGGTGCACCGTCATTGACCCGAGCTGCTCCGAGATACGTCTCCGTGTCCATTGGGCGCCATTCCACGTGCCGGACGACGCTGTTCGGAAAAGTTTGGAGCCCTTCAGCAAGGTCATCGAGGTCAGCATAGAGAAGTGACGAGTCGACGGACTCGAAGGAATCGAGTCGATCACGCGCATCGTACGCATGACGCTTAGGAGCGGCGTCACACCAGACGGGATCGCCCCACCAGCTACGCTTCCAGGGCTTCAAGGCTCTCATCGTAATTCCAGGACGAGCGCCGGTCTGCTTGGGCTATAAGCGGACCGAAAAGAGGAGAGAATAACTGGGAATATTTCGGAATCTCGTCAATTCAACAGTTCAGAAGTCATGCTCACATTTTATTGGCTCTTCTCTTCGTCTTCTGACAGAACGTTTCGAGGTTGCTGGATATCTCCAGGAACATATTTTAAGGCAGTTGGTGTATATGATATCTCCAAAGAAGTCAATTCAGAAAAATACTAGTCCTTCAAAGCGGGCAGTCCTTCCATATTTTCATAGAATTTCTCACAACATCAAAGCGTTATCCAGCAGGTTTAATGTTGGCACTGCCTTTTTTACAGATTATAGATTGAGCCGTTTGACCCCTTCTGCCTTGAATGTTTCAGGTTGTGCGATAAAACACATGATGTGGAATGTGCGTCGGGTGTCATTTACAAGATACTCTTTGATTGTTGCCTTTGTTATATTGGACAAACTAAGCGGTGTATAAATGAGCGGTTGACGGCACACAAACGTTGTACAAAAAAAAAAGAAAAAAAGACCCGTACTCCGAAGTGTCAAAACATCTGATCAAATGTAGGAACTGTGTACCGTTGTGGGATTTAACTTCAGTAGAGTTCCGGGAAAAAAGATGACCATAAGCGGTTTATAAAGGAATCATTAACGATATTAGGTCACGGGAACGCAGTTAATAAGCTGCGGTTTGGGTTGGAGAGCGAACTTGGGCGTTTTCTTAGGCTGTGAAAAGTTTTGACCTTCAAGGTTTATGTCTGTAGGTATCCGGGTAGAAGGGACGATGGGTCGTTCTTTAATTTTGTATGTGTATTACTGGGCTTGGGGTTACCAGTGTGTTTTGTGGTCGGGAAGCGAGAGGTCAAAGATAAGAGAAGTGCGTGACGCAGAGTCCGTTGTCTTTGTTGTTTAGTCAGAGGATACGTTTGTGGAAAGAGGCATTCTTTGGGGTTCTCCCTTTTCTTTTTTGTATCGAACTGCCTATATAACCAGGTTTCGGAAATTAAAGATTTCGGCTGTGTTACAGACTTTTTAGTGTTGTGTCGTTTACCCGCAGTCTCGGGGTTTTTTCAACAATGAACCCTGTTTCTTGTCTGAGGTGCGCATGTTCTGCGCGCCGAACCTTCTACGCCGATTGTTCCAGAAACCCACGCGTGTACAAAAGGGGCTCCGCGTGGCGAGCCGGAGTCAATCTCGCCCCAGTGCTCGATCCTGCTGTTACGCCGCCATTGACGCCTGCTACACTAGGGAACCTTCATGACTTTGCAGAGGTGCTGGTCCTAGTCTGGCCCAACTATGCTCACACAGACCGACATTGATTTAAAAGCTTCTTTGTTGCGGTGAAATTGTGAGGGTAAAATGGGACTATTTCTTTCAGTCTTGCCTTCGAAAAGCTTGAAGGCGTAATCCTGGGATCGAAACCACCCGTCTGACGACAGTCGAACGTGGCTTGTGGGTTGGACACGAGAACTGCGTGAGCCCGCAACTTCGGCTCGTAAGAATCAATGCCTCGGCGAACACTCGAGTAGGGACTCTTGTCCACTCACTGCGGTGATGAGAATAGCCCAACTCTAACAATGTCTGAAGTTCAGCACGCGTTTTCTACTTAGCCAACCCGAGAGCGTGGGTATGAATAAAGTTGGCGGCGATAGGATAGGCACAAGGCCACGCGACCGCTTGTTTTGGCTCCGAGTTTATATGATAAACGAAGCTAATATTTCTCGAATGTTTTGGGGGACTGCCATTGCCTGGAAATCAAAGCTAAGGCCAGTTTATTGCTATTAACGTCAGGGAGTGATTCTATGTATTATCTAGTGAAAGTAGAATCATCTTTTCATGACCTGTCTAAACATTTTGTTTTCTTCAGTCATTCGTCCCCTCATCAATTGTCATTTGTGACAATGGGGACCTTTAGCAAACCGATGCCGCGTTCCAAATACCGCACTACCGGAGCCTCTGAAGTATGCTTTTAAGCCCGTGCAACGCGGCCACGGTATCCCCCGGGCGCGCGCTTAAAAACATGCTTCAAACTTCAAAGGCTCCGGTAGTGCGGTGCTCGGAACGCTGCAGCGGTTTGCTAAAAGTTCCTAATATTGAACATATACGGTGTAGTTTCACATGCTCAGATTGCAGTGAGTTGACTGCATTTTAGGCTGAAAAGTGTCTTAGAACTAGTCGTTTGCAGGGCTCTTTTTTAAATCTCTGACTGAGTGAAGAAGTGTTCTACTAGAAAGTAAACTCACGAATATTTTTATCTTTAACGCGTTAGCATAGAACGCTCGTTTTGACGAAAACCCGGTGGTGTCTTTCGTTTGTGAGCGCCGGGAAGAGAGGGAGAAGGAGGGGTAGAGGGTGACGCGACAGACGCTCCCGAAGCACTGACGTCAGTACGCAATTTCTCCCTCTCTTCACGGCGTTGACAAACTGACAGACACCGCCGGGTTTTCGTCAAAACGAGCCCCTTCGTTATCGGCAAAGTCACGCGCACACCTGGCGCGCAGCCAGAGAGGCGGAGGCGCCGCGCAGCACCTCCTGGATAGCAAAGCCGTAGTTTTGAGTGAGATGGCGTAATCAGAGAAGGCCAACGCTGGACACATATTGGAAACAAGTGCTGCATCAGCACTCGGCTTCGAGTCAAGTTAGAGCCGAAAGTTGACGCAATCGTCGTGTCCAATCTGTGATCAGCGTTGGCCTTCTCTGATGTCGCTATCTCATTCAGCACTACTGCTTTGTTATCTAGAAGGTGTTGCACTGCGGCGCGGTGAAATGCGGCCGTGCTCAGTTACCGCTCTGCCGTCGCCGGTTGTTTTTCGCTGGGTTTTCGTAGTAGCGGTACGTGGACTGTGATGTCTGTGCGTAGTGAAAACAATGGATGCAATTTTTTTTAAGAGTAATATGGGTATGCGGTTCCTTCCACGAGTGGTATGGATGGTTTTTTTTTTCATGAGTGTTATGGATGACCGTGTCAAAGGGCGTCGACGTACTATGACAGACAGAGTATAGAGAACGGGTGAAAAATAAATTACAGTAAGATCTATTGGTGCATTTATAGGGAATTCGTTAGCATGACCCTTGGAAAACGCCACACATGTCCCTTTGTGGGAAACGCTAACACTGATCCCTTAACGAGGCTAAAAAGAGGAAGCAAAAATAGAGGAGGCAAAAGAGAAAGCAAAGAGAAAAGTGAAAAGGTCAGGGTTAACGTTTCCCAAAGGAGGGCGTGTGTGGCGTATCCAAGGGTCATGATAGCGCATTCCTTAAGAATCCACCAAAGGGTCTTTCTGTAATTGTTTTTAGGGTGTACGCCTTTATCTGTTTCTGCGTACCCAACCAGGGGGAAGAACACGAAGTGAGGAGTTCGAGGAACAACTAAATTACATTTAATGAAACGCAATCTACAAAGCAAAGTAGAAAAACTAACAATTCGTGACTGCACGTAGCCCAAGTCCGCATCAGGTGGTTGGGTGCAGTGTTTTCAATGTGTCTTTTATAGACTAAGGGAAAGTAAATTTTGTGCTTACTGTTACCTTGGCAATCCTGCCATGCATGCAGTGCCCGACCTCAAAGGGAAAGACTCTTGTGGTGTCCTTAAGGCGTGCATAAGCTCTACGTTTTCTTATTTTGCGACGAATGGTATTAACTAGAGTTAGTTTAGAAATGAGGCAGGTATTTGGCACTAAAAGCATGTGGTAATTTTTTTTAACTATCACTTTGTACTGTGCTCAATGTTCCGATGACGTCTGTAAACCTACCGAATAATTCTTCATGAAATCCGGGTCTTCATTCTTTTCTTTCTGAAACGACAGCCAATGGAATGAAGGTTATAACATGACGAAATTATATCTGACATTAATTGCGAGGTCACGTACAACAATAAGACTTGTGTCTTCATAAGAAAACACAACTTGAGTGATTGACATTCATCGAAATCAGGGCAATTTCTAGAAATGCACAACCCATAAATACTGTTCGCAGTGCAAAACCTATGTATGTTTTATGAAAATCTTCTGTACCGTAGCTCAAACTTTCTTAGCGCCGTTGAATGAGGCGAAAAATATCTTAAGGACATAAGTTATATATTTGAATTTTTGCGATCATGCATTCTAGCATAACTTTTTTTGTGAAATGGCCACGCATAATTGACAATTGTTTAAGATGCGTACTAAATCATCGTTATGGCCATACATTTATTACGTTTTTTCAGGGTAGCTGTAAGCCATATTGTGATCTACTTCTGCGATATAACGTTAGGCGTCATTTAGAATAAACATCACGCCCTATCAAAGCGGGCCGCCCAAAGTCTGCCACGGTCACGTCGGACGTTGACAATATTAGTGCAATTTAGCTTATTGTATAACGACGTTGCAAACATGACTCAGTTACGTGTATGGACACTGTGGCTCATTGATTCCACTGCCTCTCTTTCCCAGAGTGATTGCCGCGCGGAGCGAAAAGGCTAAAATCGCATATTCCATGGGAATCACAGATTTTGATTCTGTGGCCTATAAGCCGCAGTGCCAAGTACCTACGCCTGCAGTAAAGAAAAAATGTAATGCTAAAAACAAATTATTTGCAAGTTTTAACGGTTGCGTGACAGCTTTTCGTCGCAAAAGCGACAGCCGCGATGGCAAAGGCGACCAGTTTGGGGCAGTCGCTTCCAGACCGATTTGTCAGACCGGACGCAAAGTCTCCGTGCGGCTGAGCCAACCAGCAGCCCCTCGAAAGTGACGTGTTGCTAACGCATTTGTTTACAGTCAGCTTTTCGGCGAGAATGGGAATGCATGTTCGCCTCGGTTCGCGGTAGCGGCCATAGGTACAGTCATGGAGGTTTCTGCGGCAGTTCTGAGCAGCGCTATTAAAGAGTACCCATTTTCTTAAAATAAAAAGCAGTATACCGAATTTAGATTGAGCGATTAGAAAATAACTCGGCTTGGCTGCAATTCGGCGCCACATTTGGCTTGGCAGGTCAACGTACTGCACCGCAAAAGCTCGAAAGAGTGCCTGTCTGTGTAGCTACAGTGCTCTCATTGTACAGTTCTGAAGTTAAAGGTCAATATAACGAGGCTTTCTCATGTGGCGAAAACGACGCATATGTAGAAGTGCTACAAAGGGAAAGCAGCGAAACGCAAACTTGACGTAGCATGACGGTCGGAATCGACGGAGGCTCCCAAGAATGTCTGAGAAGCGACTTGCCGATCGCTTACAGTCTGAACGTCGGTGGTCGCTTGTCGCATGTCGCTATTTGGTTGTACAACCGCTGCGAGTCGCAAGTGTGAACGCACTTTAGCGTTCTTGTGTGGAATTTTCAGTATTCTATTTTGATTTACTTAATTTTTGCAAACATGGCCAGGGGAATAAAAGCACTCCAATATACGATGTGATCATATACACGATCACATTGTCGGGAAGAAATTGCGTTTTGTAGGAGTGTGGCTGATTTGGTGACTACAGTTTTCACAGATTTGCAAGACGAATTTTCCCCGGTTGTGACGGCGCCGCGAATGTGCGGCACAGAGATCACGATTTTTTTTTCTCTCCATTGAAACTTCTGCTTTGAAAGCAAAGAATTGTCGACGACAAAAGGTGAAAACGGAGTGGTCGTATGAGCGCTCCAGTCAAAACCACGGCAAACACTGGGGCTAGTTGTGGCAGTGAGGAACTTTTTCACCAAGAGCTCAAAAGGCCCCGAAAAAAGGGAATATGACATAGGATATCTACAAAATCGCAGGCGTTGGCACTCCAGGGAACCCTAATGTATATGCGGCTCAACCCTCAGCGAAAAATATGTTTCACTCATCTGGGGTCTTACCTGGTTGTCTTCGACGCGGGACGGGTGTATAATCAAACTTTATAAAATATACTTTATTAAATGTGTACGTTCTTTTAAAGTAACTTTTTTGATAATACAGTTGATGCCCATAACTCTGTTTTACCCCGGTGCATTAAAAATATTGGCTCCTTTAGTTTACCCTAAACAAAAGGTTATAAAACGTTTCGACTTCGACCACGTCCTTTGGCGTAAAATGCACAATTAAAGGTTTTTAGTATTTTTATATGGTTTATGCCAGTGTTTCTCAAACTTTGCTACCCTTCAACTCATCGAAAATATAAAATTTCGCGTCTTGGGGTGATACCTTCTCCTCTAACTTTTGTGGCATAAAAAAAAAGAGAGAAAAGATTAAATGAATGAATGCCTCATACAAGAAGGGACAAATATATCGTACTTACTGCTTCGCAGATTTCCTGCAATAGGCCAGATTCGTCTTTACTTTGCGATGTCATGTGATCCTTCCACTTCTTTGCGATCTGTTGAAAATTATTCAGTATTATATCAGGTAATGGTGGTACGGGTAATATTATCAGGCTTGGCGGATATTATATGGAAAGATAATCTTCACGATCAATAAATGAATTACCTCAAATATGTTAATTTTATTTTTTAATGAAAGGTTCGATGGTCAATGTAATTTAACATTCGCCTAAAATTAAATATCTGTCGCGAGTTGAAAACTTAAACTGAAATAAAGGCAAAGGCGTTCTTGAAAAGATCCCGCCGACTCGATGTCAAAAGTGGTCTGCTTATCTTTTATCGTTAGGTTTATCTGCATATCTGTGGCACTACTTCAAAATATATAAGCACCAAACCAGACTCTCGGCTCGACTCTTTTTTCGCGTCAGCGTTCGGCCGCTGCATTCTAGATTTCGGCGATTTCGCTTTAAGTTCCCTAGGAATGGAAAAATGCCTTTAAATTTCACAGTGCTAAATTGACCACTTAAATGCAACTCTGATAAAACTTTCATCCTGCTACGTGTATGCGCCATTATTTCAGGCCTAATTTACCGGATGTTTGAAGTATGATGCAAACGCAGAAACACTTAATGTTCACCCTTTCCAGGAACAAAAAAAAAAACAAAAAAACAACGAAAAACAGTACATAATCGCCGTCTATAGCTCCGTGCTCAGGCACAAAACTTAAAAAATAAAAATAGCTGAAAACTTTTTTTATGAACATGAACATGACCAGTTACAACATAGTAACTTCGAAGTAAATTATTCTTGGATAACACAACAATATATTCGATAAGCACGTTCTGGAGGCATCTTCATACTGCTTTGTCATAATTTGATTTTCCTTTATGTGTAATAGAATGGTTTTGATTTCTGCATTTGTGTGGAAGCCTAAACCTGCTCACGGCAACCAAAACCTAGCAAGTGCTCCAACCAAATACTGCTACTTAAAACCCTAATTACGTGGTGTGGATATTTCTGGGAACCACATCTGGAACGCCGTGCAGAGATCACCGTCCTCATTGCTTTTTTTCCGGTGCCAATGAACGACTCTTGTGCGGCGTCCACACGAAGAACAGACCGATGTCACGAGCCAGTTTGACTACCCCATCGCTGCCGCGAAGCATGATGTAATTTGAGTTTTTCTGCACGTGCGGGTACCTCACTGGAGCTCTGCGCGTGTGGAGCACGAGATGGCACGTGACCTCTCGTGCACTGCCGTCTGCCTTCTGTGAACTTGTTATAGCAGCGCAACACATGCGCCGTACCAGGCACGTAGCCAGGATTTTGTTTTGGGGGGAGGTGGGAAGGGCACCCATGAGAAAATGCTCTATGAGGGGGAGGGGGAGCGGAGGTCCCAGCAGAATGGAAGATTTCGGGGGGGGAAAGGGCGGGCCCCAGTTCCCCCCCCCCCGCCCCCCCCCCCCCCCCCCCCCACTCTCTGGCTACGTGCCTGCGCCAAACGATTAGTGAGATCAGTTTATTGCGGATTAAAATTGGTTTGTACACCTCTTCAGCACTTATCACAGGCGAAAAGTACAGAGTCACTGGACTATGGACGCATGCTCGCAGTATTATATTCAGTAGATGAATACTGCTGCATACGCTCAAAAAGGGTTCGTCCGTCCAGTAGATAAAGATGACCGCGCACAGAAGGCGATTGTGGATATGACTGCGAGAGCACTGCTTTCCGCTCAGTCGCCGACTTATGTGAGTGAAAAGGGAACATTCACGGGCAGGCTACTTCTAATGTTTCATTATTATCGTTGTGATAAAAGGATTTGAGATGTCGGTTACGTAGATACCAATCTATATGTATGAGCGTGGTCTAAGACTCTAAGCTCGCATTGCTGTATCCTCTCCTCTGTCGACTCAATTTTAAGGTTCGTCCTTTATGGCTACAACTTGTCGGTGCAAACATCTGATATCTTGGCTGGGAGCAGTTTGATGACAGGTCAAATTATCTGTGGCAAGGAGATAACCGAGCTCACTGGGGTACATGGCGAATCACCTTAAAAATCCCAGTCCATACTTAGTTTCGGCTGAAGTCCAGACAAAACCGACGGTTTGAGGTGATGGAACAACCAAGCGGCGTCAAAAACGCAAGTCACTGGGCCTTTTAGGGGCGAAGCTATTTAGGGTCTAGCCTTGTCCGTCCGGCGTCCGTGCTCACATCGATCTTGATGGTGCTCGTGCTCGTGAGCTCACGAGCACGTGAGCACGTGCTCACGTGCTCGTGTAAAGCAAAATAAAAAATTCTGAAAAAAAAATGTTTGCGCAGTCGAGAGGATTCGAACCTGTGCGGGGAGACCCCAATGGATTTCTAGTCCATCGCCTTCACCACTCGGCCACGACTGCGGGACGAATAGGGAGCTCTGAGATGTGGTAGTAACTTAAGAGCTGGGGATGTCATGGATGAAACGTTGCATGTAGCCGCTGAACGTCTATACAGGAGAGGGCGCTGCGGTCAAATGCTTATATAATCGCTTTAAACTTTGCATGCATTGGCTCAATGTTTATAGACGAGAGGGTGCTGCGGTCGAATGCTCAAATGCGTATATAACCACGTTCCATACCACACTTTCTCTTTCTGACATGGATGGAAACGAACGAAAGGCTCGGCATGCTGCGGCTCAGCGTCTACGCAGACAAGCATCACCAGAGCTTCGCCCCAATCAACATCATTCACCACGTGGAGATGCGGTCAATTTTGTTTATGGTTAGTTCAGCGAAGATAGAACACGTACAGAAACACGACGAACACCATGATGGTGCGCTTTTGGCACTGCCTGATTGGTCGCGTCAGCTAGTAGTGTCGGCTGCGCCTGGACGTAAGGTGAAACGAAGTAGAGTAATATATCTGACATGTATTAATGTCTGCGTAGCTAGAGATCTATAGTGACTCATTTGCACGGTGCGCATAGAAGAGATGAAAGATAAGCGCGTGAAGGGGGGACCAGCCAAGGAGCTCGAGAGACTGAACGACCGGCATGACATACCAGCTTTCGGTGACCGCAGCAACCGTTCATGGATTCCGCACATGTAATGTATGTATTGTAAAATATTGTATATATGGAGTATTAACAGGACGCCATATTTGCGGGTGCTCTTTTGAAGCGCATGCTCAGAGCGAGCTCACATTAATAAGCTGCTAAGACCGGCAATCCTGACGGTGCGGAATGCGCGTGGGAGAACTCTGGAAGCTCGCCGTCAGCACGCGCTCAGCAGTCACGCACACGGATATGGCCACCAGTGAATACTCCCTATAGTGCATTAAAGAGTCACGTACCGCGAATCCCACAGATCTCTCACTTCCCGCACGTTCCATTTTATGGTGCTTTTTTCACATACAATGCCGAGTAAATTCATGCCGTATATTTAGGTTAGTTCATGTCATGGAATTCCTTACGAGATATAACTAATACCCTCTTCCAAAAATGTACCCGTCCAACCGACCGTTCATGCATAACCCCACAGCAGGACATAAATGCAAGCACAAGCGGTCTGCACATTTGGTTTCGAGTAATAAAAGGGCATTGTGCCCGCTTGTAACAGCTTACGACGAGATAACACACGGACAGACTTACTTCGTGTACCAGGCTGCCCTGGAACATTTCCGATGTGTATATAACTAAAGTTTTTGCAGCATTTATGATAAAAAACTCTGTCTATGAAAAATAGTCGCTTATAACATTGGTAGGATTATTTCCAGCCAGGGATGGACAGTATTTCAAATAATTAAAGTATTTGAAATAACGTATTTCAAATACTTTGTGTATTTTGCCTTTGTATTTAATTACAAATTGGGTAATGTATTTGACGTGTGCATTTAAATACTAAAACGTAGGTATTTCAAATACAATTGTAATTGAATACAATTTTGTGGGCGAAAATACATCTTGTTTTTATGCCTGTGGTTGCAAGATATAGTCTCCATCCTTTATTCGGCCATATGGCTTTTTTCTTTTTCTCCTCCGGCTTTATCTTAAAGGCACTGTCCAGAGCAGGAAGAAAACTACGTTCCGCACCGAATGCAGTGTCTCTCAATCAAGCACAAGCGTTTAGTGACTTTGTGATTACGGTGCTAGTCCAGGGCAAGAATAGTGACGAAATCGACGTTCACAGGCAGGCTGGCTAAATAAGTGCCTGTGACAACTTGTGATGCTTTCCAGCCTGATTTCCATCCATATTTTTGCCTGGAACATTCTAAATGCGCGGGTCGTCCAGATTTTCGTAACTGGTGCGAGTTGCAACAATAAAACATTCTCTAGCTAGTGCTGCACGTCTTGGGCGTCTCGGTTCTTTGTTGGTCTATACCAATCTGTAATCGACAAAAAAAGCTGCTTGAAGCTCTGTATTTTTTCCACCTATTACGTCCAAGCTGATTACATTTTTTTTGTGTGATTATATTTCTATTACGTTACAAGAGCCTCGCACACTAACTCCCGAGTGTGCGATGCAAAATTAAAATGAGATACCCAGAAACCCGTTGCAGGTGCCCTGAAGTTGCCGACGCAAATTTTGAGGAATGTATTTAGAAAAGTATTTGGAGGAGACCAAATACATTTGGTTGTATTTGTAACTTGTATTTAAATGCTTTTTTGAAAATGTAATTAGATTTGTAATTAAATACATTTTTGACGAAGTATTTCGTATTTGTATTTCGATACATATTTGCATGTATTTTGCCCATGCCTGTTTCCAGCACACGATGAAATAATGATGCGTACAAAATGAGCAAACATATACGCCCATCGGAAGCGTTCCAAGGTCACCCGAGGGAGTACAGGTGTAGGCCATGGTGTGTTTTCTCGTCGTGAGCAATAACAAGCGGGCACACAAATGTGTGAACCGGCCTTCGCAATGACAACTTGAGCAAAACGATGTAGACAAGCACTTACTCATAATTAAGCCACTACTCTATTCACATCTTCCACCCGGAAATCAAACCCAGAACTCCCTCGATCCGCACCCTATTGGCCAATCCCTGTGCCAGCTAAGCGATTTGTTTAAGTTATTGCCAGATTGTTTTCAGTGTTCAAGAGAACCACGTAGGTAACCATTCACACTGCACACCAGCCTAGGTACGACGGACGCCGAGTGCTTAATAAATTCTTATCATGGCTAGCCTGTCAAGAACAGGCAAGATTTATTGGTCACCCCCTAGTACGTGTCCTACTACATATTTTACTGCCTTACTTCACTCTAGACTCTGCGTAGTGCGTGGTAGTGTAACAGATTAGAGTTGCAGAGTACAATATGTCCCTCTTCACTCAAAACGACTCTTTAATGTCTTTCAAATAAATCTAAACGATCACACCTTACGTTCTAAAATAATGCCTTCCATGCGTTAAACGAGTTTGTAGATTTAAGTAACTGGCAGTTGTCTTTATTATACTTACTTCTTCCGGGAGATTTTTCAACGTACACTGCAGCGATGGTAATGCAAAATCCGATCCATTCTTCTTTAGCTCTTAGGGCAACACAAAACAACAAAAAAAAATGTAGAAAATGCTTCTATTTTGCTATTTAAACATTCAAGCATCTGGTATTTTCTATATACGTACACACCAAATGCTAACTTTCTTTCGAACGCATTTGCAATCATCAAAAATAAATTCCTGAAAAAAAAAAAATGTCGTGCTGATAATTAGAGAGAGCAAGCGCTAATTTTTGTTTACATTTAAGAAACATACTTCATAGGCGGTGATTCTTTTATATTTTAGCAATTGAGTCAATTTAATTCGTTCACGCTGTTACACCCCCCCCCCCCCCCCCCGTATAAAAAAATAAGAAAAAGGAAGAAAAAGAGCATTGGTGTACACTATTTGCTCTCTAAGCACTGTGGATTGGCGCATGCAGTCTCAGTGTAACTCTGTTTTTTACATGCAAGCATACATATCTGTTATTCGAAACCTAATCTCATCGTGCCTCTTGACGGGAACCGCGTACGCCACTACTGAGCAAGATAGGAACACAAATGACGAACTGTAGAGCTAAAATATATTTAAAACTAAACAAAAAAAAAAAAACAAGGGAAACCGCAACAGTTTGGGCACCATTCTAATCAAGGCCTGCCAGCTCCAACCGAAGAAGAAAAAAGAAAGAAGAGGAAAAGGTTCGAACAAGACACACACAAATCAAAAAGATAGCGACGTCTAGTACAGCCTGGTCACGTTGGCCGCCTCAATGGCGGAAGGTCATGCCACCTGTCACAGTCACAGGCCTTGCGTCAAGCCGCACCCGCCGTACTGAAAACTGGAGAGAACACCAGTCATTAAAGATGGTCAGCCAGACTGGTATCTTCCAGGAATGTCAGGATCAGCGCGAATGTTTTCGTAGTGATGCCCCTGGTACCTGGCAGAAAAAGCAGGTGCGAAAGGCTCTGCCTTGCTGCGCCTGTTTGACAAAGTTCAAGGTGGAGTCTAGAACGCTGAGCGTCGAAGATTGGGCAGTCACGAAGGAGATGTTCGCTATCCTCGGGAACTTGGCATGTCTGACAGTGCCCGTGCCACAGGGGCAACTCAAATTCCATTTAGAATGAATGACATTTGAACGATCGGCCAATCAGCGCGCGTCGCTCCGGGCGTGGCGTATTCCACGCGTGACAGATCGCGAGCCGATTCGTCGATCACACGGATGTCATTCGTTGTAAATGGCAGTCGAGTTGCCCGTGTGGCACGGATGTAAGATGTCCACGCATTCGACGTGGTAAAGCCAAGAGGCCATAGAAAGCTGAGCGAGTTCGAAGTTGGTGAAGAAGGGCTGCTTCTGGGCGACTTAGTTTGGCTGGAACCTGTGTTTGTGGGGTTCCTCCGGCTATGCCTGGGTTCGGGTGTCTTTTTTTGCGTCTCACGTGCAATGAGAAGCCTGGCCTCATTGATATTCGGTACGTGGAAAGTTCTGTTGGTGAGTTCATGAGCCTGAGCTGCGATTTGGTAGGCCCTTTCATTGCCGTCGATTAGATGGCAGCCACTGGACTGCTATAGTCCAGCCTTTCTTTTCTAAGGGCTAGACTTTAAAAGCAACAATGCGGGCCAACGGAGGTGCGACTTCCAGCTTGCTGAGAATTCGTAGTGCCGCTCTGGAATCTGTGAGAAAAACCTCCCTTTTTTGGGGCTCACAAGGTCGTGTAGGTATCGAGAACAAGTTCGAGTGCTTTTAGTTCTGCGATGGTGGATGGATGTGTAGAAGCTGCGGCGATCGGACTTCATAATGGCGAGTTTAGGGATAATTACCGCTGCTGTTGAGGATTTCTTTTGGTGGCAGACTGAGCCATCGGTGAAAACGCTTGTCCAACTATCGAAAAAGCTGTCGAGGCGTTTCCCGCGAGATTACGGGAAACCACATCGAAAACAGATTTTTTGCTGCGTAGAGATTTATTACTATATATTGAGAGGCACAGTTGTATAATGGGGTGGTTGGAGAGGGTCGCCATCCATTGTACTGCCACGCTCCTTAAAGTCTGCGTAGACTTTTCTGAGTTGGAAATTGGGATGACTATAGAAGTGTTGCAACAGGTTGACGGTAGACCTTGTGAGGGTCTGCCGGGCGAGATGCCGTTGTGCCTGACAGAATGCTGGATTGGCGATTGTGTTTTGTCTAGCTTCGACTAAAGTAGGACATTCGGTGCGGACGGTTGAAGACCGAGGCAGGTTCCGAGGGCTTTCCTTTGAATGATCTCCATCTTCGTTACCTGAGCGCATAAGCGTGACCTGAGCGCGCTTCGTACGAGCACAAGTGGGAGCGCATAAAGTAACCAGGATTTAATCAGCCCCTTAAAACAGTTGCAGAGCCATCGATTGCAAGGTCCTCAGCGTGTATCCTCGAATCCTTCGAATTACGTAGAGGTGCAGGGTGCACCGAGATATTGTTTGTTTCACGACTGGACGCCAGGAAGGGCAATCACCTACATGCAGTCCAATGTACATGTGGTTGCGCAGCCTGGTTAGGAAGTACCGTTTACAGAGTACGTGAAAGAGCTGGCCTTAAAGCTACGTGGATGGTGAGCAAAAGCCGTGGTTTTAGATTGCGAGACAGTTAAGCCAACCCTAATGAAAAAATTCGGTAAAATCTTCCGGTGACATCCGGTGAAAACTGGTCAAGTTGCACCCGTTTTTATTCGAAACCAGCCTAGTTTACCAGTCTTTTGCTGAAAGATTTGCCGGCAGCTACTCTCGGCTACCAGATTTCGTTGGGATTTCACCTGCTGTCACTTGTTTCCCCGTTTACCAAACTTCACTGAAAGCCGACGCGAGGGGAAAGGAACGACTAAAGCCGAGACGAGCCGGGGACTGGGTCTATAATTATGGTGCCTAGAACGCAAGAAGGAAGAGTCACTCCTTACCCTCTCTCCCTCCCGCTGGGTGCGTGGAGAAAGTGTGAAAAGGACATTTAGCTGTTTCTTTTGAAGAAAACCGTTTTTTTTTTTTTTTGTCAACGAGCGCAAACTGGGCAACGAACGGACGTTCTCAGTGTCGGCTTCCCGTTGCATGTGTGCGGCCTGTATCTACCAGAGCAGCAGGGTGTGCGGACAAAAAAAAGAAGATATTTCAGTGCCCTGTTGCTTATGCCCTTTCGTCCGTCCGGCTTCAGAAGCATCTAGCGAGCAAACAAGACGCCGGAGTAGCCGCTGTGACGGCATCAGGGACGACACCGTGACTGTGCTTAGGATTTCTCAACAGCGGCAGATGTTGGTTGCGCATTCGTGGTTTTCGCTAAACGTGCTACTGACAGTGTGTTTTATGTCAACATTCTGCTCTTCTCTCCATTTTGAACAGGTTGGAGTATAGCCTGATGTGCTTCTCTACAGTTGACGCACTGTGGATTTGCATTTGATGCTGCTCTTGCTGTTAGTTTTAGGATGCGGCTCTGCACAACGAGAGCATGCAGAAGCATGCGACTGCACAGTGCATGCGACTGCACAGTGTCCGAAACCAACACAGTTGTGACACTGATATGGATGGGGCTTGAATTCCGTCACTTTGTGTCGTACTCGTCCTACACTGTTAGAAAAACTCCTGTCAAAATATGGGACACATACATGCTAACCTTGTTGCCACAACATGTACTGTATTACCGGACTACAGAACATGTTCCATACTTCTTTAGTACGGGACATGTTGTTGCTGTATGGGCAGCCACAACAAGTTCCATACACCATCATCACGGAACAAGTACTGTATGCTACAGGAAATGTACCATCGTGGCACACAGCAGCACATGTTCTGTTGCAAGCCATGCCAGAACATGTACCATTTTTACGAAGTACATTACATGTTCCAATGCGTCCAAAACGACACAGGTTACAGTTCTTGTACGTACGGAAAAAGTTCAGTCTCGTTTGTGATAGTACTCGCCCCATTTTATGTTACTGCCGCTATTCATGAGTACATCCGGGCTTTGTATGTCACATGCCAAGCTCCTCCTTGAAAAAGTTGATATGCGACATGCAAAACAGGGATGTCCTGGCAGTTTGCAGGCGCAACTTGATGCACGTCTTTGCAACATAAAATTACCTGCAATGCGCAAATGTTCCCCAAACTTGTATGTATGGAAAATTTGAACTGTCGTATCTAATGCGAGCACTATCCTGAAAACAGAACAATGAATCTGTGACATATATACTCAATAGAACAGCCAGGAATGCCATGAGAAAGTGTTCACATGCTACATCAAGTTTAGAGAGCATTGTACACGTAGTGACGGGGATAAAGGCAGATAAACATTTGTAAAAAAATCGTTATCAAACTAAGTTCACACTTGGTCCTTTTGGTTCCAACCCATAGCAACGAACCCACTGCAAAGAAGACTGAACAGTTTGCTGCTTCAAAAATATTTACTTTTATTTTTCTTTTAAATGACTAGAGCAGATACACAATAAAAAAAAACACAGTTCATGCCGCAAATATTTTGGGGGGCAGCTCAGCCATAAAAAAAAATATCAAAGTGAGCAGTCTCCTAAAAAAATGTGACCAAAAATTATGCTGACATGCTACATCTCGAAAAGAACCATCTTGGCCTATACAACAAATTGTAATATTAACAATAAAAAAGAAAGATTAATCTAAACAAGCACTGAAGTTTCTTTTCACTTCTTTTGGAACTTCGAGAACTCTTGGAGGGCTCCCTGCGCCTTCAGATGCACCAGAGCAACTTTTCTTGACGACTACCGGGACCCCTCCTGCGGGTTCGTTGCCACAAGTCGCCTGAAAAAAAAAAGATAACATAAATAATGGGTGGGATTTCTTAGAGGAGGAAGTATAACAGAAGCTAAGGCATTGTCTATCGGTTAGTAATTCAATCTGGACAAATTCTAAACCTCGTCTTTAGTATACTTTCAAGCCGAGACACGCCCTTAATTTGGAAAGTCCGTGCACACACCATGAGCCTCCAAGTCTGATCCTTGCATCAAGACGAATTGTAATTGTACACACAAAAAAAAAAAAAAACGATTCAGCTTACTGGCATCAG